GGGAAATATTTAATGCTGCAGGTTTCCATCTATAGCCTGAAGAAACATTGCTTACTATTTACGAATGCTACATCTAAAAGCCAAGAGAACTATTGCAATTGCAAACAAAAGTTTAAAGCAGTTCCCAAAGGAGAAAAAAGAACAGGAGAATCTGAACTATCACATAGAGAACAAATGAGTTAACTCTCTTTCCTACCTTCTATTCATTGTGGGATGCTATGAGAACCTATCTACCAGGCAAATTTACAATGTGGTAGGGGTGGCTAAGATACTTACTGGTCAGGCAATGGCCAGTAAATTATCCCTGTATTCCAAAGCATTGATTAGTCTTCTTCCCCCATTGTTTATTTTTTTTAAAAAAATGGACACATTAATTACAAGGTTTCCAGTCTGTAGTTTGACCCAGCAGGCAAGTAATAATACTAAACTCAGAAATAATTTATATAAAAGGGGCTCTGGAAAATTTGGATAGATGATCTATAGTCCTTTGAACTCTGATTTTCAAAACACTTTAAAGGAAAATCATATTCACCTTCACCAATTTTCCCTTTGATTCTGAACACATTTGCAAGCTGAGGTACTGCTTGATAAAGCTTTTCAATATCTGTAAGTGCTCCTATGGAGAAATTTTTAAAACAAGTTATTTTAGAAACTGAAATTATTCTCCCTTACTTTTATATAAGGTTTGCAACATAATGATTTAATCGTGAAATTTAAAGCATTAAAGCTGTCCTTTAAGTAGAGCTAGGAAACCTGTGGCCCAAATGCAGCTACTTACCATTTCAACATTTTTAAAAAATACCCATACATAATAAACAATAATCAAAATTTAAAAATAACAAACTTTTACACAATAAACACTAATAGGCCTGATTACACTAAACATCATCTCCAGTTTACAGTACCAACATGCTAAAAACTGATACTGAATTAAGACGAATGCCCCAAACATTTTATTGAGAAATTTTATATGGGCATTTTAAACAGATAACTCTGGACAATCAATTTACAAAAAGAGTATTAAAAACATGACCAAAGTTCAAAATAATGCGATTCAAAGAAGAAAAATTGAAGCCAACCGTGTAACAATTTTACAAAATAGAATCATACTGAACTCCACAAATGTCCTGACCTAATGAAAAAGAGAATTGAGCCCCGAAGCATAAGGGGGTCTGGCATTCAACTTTTCCCCCATCACACTAGAACCCAGTGTGGCCCCCACACTGGCCCAGAAAGATGCCGTGATCAATGGTCTTGAGAACCACTCAAGAGATCAAGGAGGGCAACACCTTGAGCCCTACAAAGACAAGTGTAACTAATGCCATGGTATGCCTGAAATCTGACTGAAAAGTCCCAAGTAATCAGTAATTATTACTTTGAGATAAAGACACAAAATGGACTATAAACCAAAATTTTACAGGAAGTTTTAGGAATTTAAATTTAATTCAGAAAAATTAAAGTTGTGGCTTTTCATATTTTTATCACTAGATGGCACAGCAATGATGTTGTATTTATTTTCTGGGTATCTGTAAGAGAACACAACAACTATCAAGCAGGAAGAAGAGGAAGGGAGACTGAATAGCTCAGATGCTGTGTTTGGAGTCATAGTTTAAGCATCTCCTGGACTGTTTCATTCACTCTTGCTATTGCTGCCATTACTGTCCTGGCAATTTTGTCCTGCCTGGAGTTTCAAAGTAGTACAGTAACCACTTCAAGATACACATATAATAGGTTACTTACAAGCACCTCTATAATTCCAAGTAGTTTCATGTATTCTGGTTATATTTATAAACAGATTCCATATATGCATTAAGGCAAAGCCAAATAAACATCTCAAGGCTTAAACTGATGTGCAAACTGGCTTGTTTTTAACCCCTGTAGTTTAAATTAGATCTATTATTTATGGAAAGCAAGTTATTAATGTTAATTTAATTAATTATATTAATCACCCAGTTTATTTAACATAAAGAAATGTTAAATAAACTAGTAAATTTGAAATTATGTATATACCAGAAAAAATCAACTTTATTCTTCGACAGGTTGTTTTTTGTTTGGCTTTTATTGCAAACCCCAGATCCAGTTTTCAACCTCTGTAAATTTATATCAATTCCTGTTATGTCTGTGGAGATTCTGAATCATCCAGCTCATGGTTGTCACAAAGGTGCTTTTCAAAAGGAAATTTTTCCCTTGAAAATGTTTTGCTTCTCATCCAAGAAGCTTCTTCAGTTCTGAACTGAATGGTGGGGAATAGAAACATTTATGTTCTTTGCAGTCGTTTGGTTCTCTAAGTTAGCTCTCTGAGAGTTGTTGAGACCACCTGGGGGTTTATCAGTTCTTTCAGGATCACCTGGATCAGGGTGTAAATGGGTATGGAACCTTGTTGGGGCTGCTGAAAGGACTATGTTGCAGACAGGAGATAGGTGGCATTGTATCCTTCTCCCTTTGTGGAGAGAGAGCTGTTCAATTTTAATGCAGATGGGCTCTCTGACCCCCCCCCTTTTAAATCAGCGGTCCTCTCTGTCCAGAATGTGGTCCTTGCTGTCCTTAACCTTTGTCTTTCAAATGCAGATGGACTGATGGGTTTCCTATGCTGTGCCATGCATTTGTGAAGTTATTTCCCCAATGTAGCTCAGCTTGTACCTGGATGTTCTATCTTCAGGGTGGGCAAGCTTCTGCCTTAATGTATTCTTGTGTTTAAAGTATGCACATATGTTATGCTAGTTGAAAATCCTCCTGTATTCCTTCACAGGAATCCTTCATGGGAATTCCACCACTCATTGGTATACATATAAGAATGAGACTTAGGTCAAGATTAAAACATAGGAAGTTGAAGTTTTCACCAAATACCTCAATTCTGTGGCGAGGTATATTGTTCATACAGGAAGATGTTAAAAAAAAAATAGTCAGCTTTCCTGAACTGAGCAGTAACATTAAGGAAGACAGAAGCATCGACACCGAACTATACAGGAGACCCCCCCACCCACAGATGAGTATTACCTTTTGATTCTCTCCACTCACAATGGGAGTGATCAGAACCCTACATCACAAGACTGAAGGTTTGCCTATGAGCAAAGGAGGAAACAGAAAAAGAACTGAAACAGATCAAAGAACCCCTCAGAACTTAGGCCTAAACTCTTAGGCCTCAAATCTAGAAAAAGATCCAGCAGGAGCTCCCCCATAACAAAGAAGGGAACAACCAACGAAGCAATATTGTCATTCCATACTTTACAGCAGTGGTCCCCAACCTTTTTTGTACCAGGGACCAGTTTCACGCAGAAACACTTTTTCAAGGACCGGGGATGGGGGGGTGGGGTGGCGGGAGTCCGAGTTTGGTGGTTTGCTTGCAGACGTTTCATTACCTGACTAGGTAACATCTGATGTTGTTACTTAGTCGGGTAATAAAACGTCTGCCAGCAAACCACCAAGTTCAGGGAGCGCCAATGCCTCCTCATTGCAACCCTGAGCGACAGATATTCTCTTCTATTGGGACATTTAAAACGGAGGGTTTCAGCTGCAGATTCAGGAACTGCGCCTGGCTGAGGAGCGCCTTCAAAACTGAGCGCTGGGCGGTGGCCGCCCACGGCTGTCTCCGCGGCTCAGGACAAGTCCCTGCAGGACGGCTGAGAAGCCCCGCCTCTCGGCCCTGCCTCCCTCAGCCTCATCCCTCAGGTGTCTCCCTCCCTCCCTCCCTCAGCCTCATCCCTCAGGTGTCTGCCTCGTTCCTCTCTTAGTCGCTCTCTCGCTCCTCCACCAGCCCAGGAAGAAACTGCTTCAAAGAAGCCGGCAGGGTGGCTTCCTGTCGGCGCAGCTCCTCCGAAGCGCCCGTTCACCCCCACACAGCCGCCCGCGGTTCAATCCAGTGCTCCGTTCTGCCTGCCTGCCTTAGTTTCTGGTTGTTTCGGAGCAGCTTCGGCTGAGAAAAAGAGGCAAATAGTTATTATTCTCAGCCGAAGCTGCTCCGAAACAACCAGAAACGAAGGCAGGCAGGCAGAACGGAGCACTGGATTAAACCACGGGCGGCTGGGTGGGGGTGAACGGGCGCTTCGGAGGAGCTGCACCGACAGGAAGCCACCCTGCTGGCTTCTTTGAAGCAGTTTCTTCCTGGGCTGGTGGAGGAGCGAGAGAGCGACTGAGAGAGGAACGAGGCGGGAGGAAACCGAAGCCGCTGAGCCGGAGAGCAGGACAGGCTTTGGTTGCTTCTTCCCTCCCCTTCTCTCCTTTGTGTTCTTGATCCCTGATCCCAGCAGCATTCACCGAAGGCGAAGAAAGCCGCCATTTTTATTTTATTTTTTATTTTTATTTCTTTGCGGCCTGGTACAAAGTGATCCACGGACCGGTACCAGTCCAGGGCCCGGTGGTTGGGGACCCCTGCTTTACAGGAATATCTGAAAAGCTCAGGGGGATTTTCAACCAACACAACATTGATGAGAATGAAGTCAGAATTGAAGAAGCTTCTTAGATGAAGCGAAATGTTTTCAAGGAAAAAAAACCAAGAAAGTCCAATTGCCTTTTGAAAAGCACCTTTGGGTCAATTCCTGACACTATGAAAATGTAAGAATCATTTGTGGAGTGTCAAAATACTAATCAAGATTCCAAAATGAGAAGGAAGCATAAATTATCAGGAAAATGATACTGAGATTTTAGACTAGCGCTAAATATACATACCTTTCTTGTTGCTCTCGTGTTTTTTAAATGAATTTTCAGCATTCAAGGGAAGTTGTTCATCTAGATAAATTGCCTCCATGACCAACTATTTGAAAGGAAACAAATAATAATAATATGGAATGAAGTATTCTCAAAGAAATGACGGAGGCCTCCCAGAAGTTAACAGAATCATATAAATCCGCTTTTTCCTGCTTCCCCCAAATATGTCTGGAAAATGGGTGTGCCTATGTAGGCCATGGGACTTCGTTGTTGATGTTATTTTTATCCCACATTTATTACTTTATAATAACTCAATGCAGTGAACATACAGGTATGCAGTACTCCTTCCTCTTATTTTCCCCACACAAAACAATTCATGAGGTAAGTTGGGCTGAGACAGTGACTGGCCCAAAGCCACTCAGTCATTTACTCCAAAGTCAAGACTAAAACTCAAGTCTCCTGGTTTCTACTCTGATGCCTTCACTAGACCAAACACACTCTCTTTGTGTAATATAATTTGATCCTGGATACTTGGAAGTCCTAAGGGGCTTACTGAGGCTGTTCAGCAGTGTGTGGCTTTATTTACAACTGAACTGCACTAAACAGAAGAAAAATAATATATTGGACCATCTTTTAGTACATAATGAGATCAGAATGCTGCATAAAAAATAATCCTGGCAATGCAAAATTCCTGATCTGATTCTGAGAAACAAAATTAGCTTTTTCCGTCTAGACTTAAGTGTACTACGCAGGCGATATCTCCCATAATACCCAGCCAGACACATGGTACCTAGAACAAAGACATCTCGATTTTTGGTGTTAAAAAGAGCGAAATATTATACGAAGGGAGAAAGAAACCTTGTTTAAGGTGAGGCTATGTCCCAGCCAGAAAGCCCCAGACCCCAATTTACAGGCCCCGGAGAATAATTTTCCAGCCGCGAGGAAAGGCTGTCATCGTCTTGAACTCCTTACTGGGCTGTTTCCTTCCTTGTTCTTCTCGCCCTCCAAAACACTCGCGACTCCTGGGCTTAGTGGCTCCAAAGTGGGCTGTCCAACAGTAACGACCCAGCCGATTTCCCCTGCAGGATCCCGCATCTCTCGTGGCCTGTTGTGTTTTTTTTCTCTTTTGTTACCGTGTACGACTAGCAGCGTCAAAATGCAAGCCGCCCTTTCCGAGAACTTCCGATTCCCCCATTTGTACCTAGCGCCAAGCGGCGCGGTTGGCAGCAAAAAAGGGGAAAAAGAGGCCAGCCCGTGAGGACTAGACCGGGAGGAGAGGATACACGTGACAAGGGGCAGATGCTGGCTGGCTGAACCGGTGCTGTCACTCAGACGACGTCTTGGGAGAGGCGGGAAATTATTTCACACACAGGATGGCGAAAGAGGAGAGGGGAAATAAAAGCCGTGTTCCTTTCCTTCCGCTGGGTTAAGGGCGGGAGAGAGGAAGAAGGTTCTGTTTTTTGTCTCAATATTTTATTAACATCTGACCTGTCCCGGCAATGGCAGAAGAAATATACGGAGGGAAATATGTGTGTGTGTGTGGAGTTAACAGTGGTTTTTTTTTAATGCTAAAGAATCGAGGCATTTAAAACAACTGGAGTGGGTTGGGTTTAGTGGGCAGAGCGAAGGGAGGTGGGAGGCTTGATGATAATATTCTTAATTAGAATTCCTGGAGACTAAATCATCTACATTCAATTGAAAAGGTCTCAGTCATTTTAAAAAAAAGGGGGGGATGGGCCTGGAAGTAGCAGTAGCAATAACCCTTAGACTTATATACCGCTTCACAGAGCTTTACATCCCTCTAAGCTGTTTACAGAGTCAGCATATTGCCCCCAACAAGTAGTATGTTTATTTCTAGAATGAGTTCACATATACGTTTGTTAGACATATACACTGTGTTCGCCCTATTTACACATCATGCTTGCCCGTTTCCAATCTTAATATACTACAACCAGGGCGGTATTTTCCAAACCTGGCAGCTTTTAAAATATCTGGACTTCGACTCCCAGAATTCCTCAGCCAGAATGCTGACCGGGGAATTCTGGGACTTGAAGTCCATGCATCTTAAAAGTTGCCAAGGTTGGAAAACACTGGTTTTGTACAGAGTGCATATGTGCTCCCTTGGCCTGGGATATAAGATGGCAGACTTTACCTTGTTAAAACATAAGTGCAATGTGTGACCCCCTTCCCCATGAATTTTGGGTTAAGTGTTTCCTTGTCTGTGGTTGAAAATGAGGAAAACAATGTTTGGAAATGGGGTACTGATTTCAAAAGTATACATAAAAGTCAGTGTCTTTTCTGCAAAGGCTTTAATTCTTTTTTTGAATCTCTTGGAAGTTTCTGGTTGGTTTGCTGCCAGAGGTGGAATATTTGTTAAATTTATATTTAATGAATAAAACAACAGTAGATAAAACACAGTTGTTTAAAAACAGTGCTACAACTTCACCTAAAGCAGGCTGCAATAAAAGAATGCCTTCCCACAGATAATCACAAATTGCCTGTAGTTACATACCCTTGCATTCAGTTGTTTTATCTTGTACAGCGTGGTCTCTAGTCTCTGATCTGAGAAGAAAAAGTTACAGTGGGGAAGAAGCTTTATCTTGTAGCTATCTTTCTAAATAATTACTGTAGGATAGCCTGGGCTGGGCCCCTCAGTGGCTCAGAGCTTTGTTCTTTCTGAAAACATTTCTCACTAGAAAAAATAAAAAATAATGGATTTTTAAAGTGCAAATTAAACTAGAAGGCAAGGAGCAGCCTCTGGGTCAGAGATCGCCAACATTTGGGGTTGGTTAGACACAGTTGTAATTTTGAGAATGTTTCTGGTCATTCTATTGTGTTAGCTTTCCCATTGACTAAATGATTGCCTTAAGACATAATCATTAGTATCAGTTTGCCAAGTTCCTGAATCTCCCTGTATACGTACATTTGTTAGACGGTTGGCATAGTTCAAAAAAAGCCACTTAGCTTCTCATACTCCTTTAAAAATAAATAGATACGGCAGAAGTCTGTTTTGACAAAAAAGGGGGGTGTCTGCAGATATAGATGCTACACTAAGTATCTTAAACCTATAATCACAAACGGTCTTCCAGAAAACCCAGGTTTTAAACTAATCTTTGAAAGGCCATAGACACCATTCTTGCCTCAGGGGGTAGGCCAAACTCTTCAGCTCATTGACCTCTTCATACAGGTTCCTAAAAATTACTATATGAAAATAATAAATTGTACTTGACTAATAATACTACAAGAAAATAATAATAATGGATAACCCCACTGATACTTGGTGGTTGATATTGACTACTTTGGGGGATCCTGCTATAAGCAGTCCAAAGGAGCCACCAAGAATTCCTGCCACTCACATACCTCCTTGGTGTCATACCTCCTCACACTTTACTTCCTAATGGGACGGGATTTTCAGCAGGCACTCCTGTTTATCCAGGTCAGGTAGACAGTAGATTTAGGATCTCTAAGACACCAAGACCAAAAACCATATATAAATTTATAAGTATAATTCTGAATTATACTTGGAAACAACTCAGCAACCACTATAGTTCACATGGAAGCAATGTTATGTGGCAATACTGTGACTATCCAGTAAGTACACAATCAGCTGCATTTTGCATCAGTTAAAGGTTCTGGGTAGCCTTCAAGGGCAGCCCCATGTTGAATCCAAGTGCAAGGTAACAAGCAACAATCATCAGAGAATCCTATTCTTGCTAAAGCTCAAGATGATGCACTAACTAAAGCTCAGTAAAGGCTTTTGGCGGACTCCCTGATTGCAAATCTAAACTTTTAGAGGGAGAACAATGCCATCAAGAGGCAAGGATAGTATTGCTGTAGAATCAGTTGGCTTTTCAGTCAACATTTACTGTGAGCTGTTTGCATTGCTTCTGAGCTTGTTTCCATGCAAGTCCATCATATTCAGGCAGAAAGGTATACTTGGGTAGTATCCAGGGGTGGGATTCAAATTTCTTAACAACCGGTTCTGTGGGCATGGCCTAATTTGTGGATGTGGCTTGGTGGTCATGTGATTGGCTAGGTGTGCCTTGTATGTAAATATTGTAAGTATTTATGTAAAGATTGAATTTTTTATTTTAAAAAAGAGCAACTTTTACCCAAAATCAGGCAAAGCTGACAGGCAGTTTGAGCTGCTCACAGAATCACAGATTCACTCAGAGATCTACCTTTCTGCAATCTGCTGCCTGAGTCTGCACTGAAAATTAGAAGCTTCAATCCTGAGGAAGGTTCAGCTCTGCTCTCAGGACACTTTCCCCTCCCCTAACCGCCTGAATACCACCCTTGACTGGGCCTCAGGGAAGCCTCCTGGGTGGGGTGGATGGGGAGGGGAGGGGCCAGCCAGTGGTGTGATTTGTCAGTTCTCCGAACTGCGCAGAATCGTAACAACCGGTTCTATAGAACTGGTCTGAACTGGTAGAATCCCACCCCAGTAGTATCAGGATACTGATTATGCCGTACTCACTGATGGCAGGATACTGGTGAGATCTGAGCCCTAAGGTACTCTATATTGGAGTGCCTGTATACTCAACATCTCTCCCAGAATCCCTGATTGGAATTATTGGCTCAGAAAGGAGTGGCATAATTCCAGAAAACTGTCTCCCACTTTAAGCTCTCATAGGCAGCTTAGAAGGATCCTGTGGTCAACAGTATCAAAGGAAGTTGAGAGTGACAGCAGGACAGAATGGTTATATTCCCACTACGCATGCGTTGTCAGAAGTCATAAATAAAATGACCAACATGATTTCTTCCTCGTACCACTTTCCCTACACTTTCTCACCAAAGGGAGGTCATGTATTGATCAATAGTAATCCAATATTGATGGTCCAAGGGCAGGTCCCTTAAGAAATGGGCAAGCCGGGGATTTCCGGTCTGTAGTGCTTCGGAGCAGGCAGGAATCCGCGACTGTGCGCGGTTTCTGCCTGTGTTCACTGCCATTTGGCTTCGGGGCTAAGCCACCTCCGTAGAAGGTGGCGAAGACAGGGGGGGTCTGGCAGGGTCGAGAGACATCGCACCTCTCTTCCCTAGCCGGCTAAACCCCTTTTTCAAAGGCAGCTGAGCGGCGGTCAGCAATGGCCGCCACATAGATGAGCTCAGCCGGAAAAAGAAAGTGCAGGAGGAGCTGTCAAGAAATGAAAGTGATCTTTGCTGACCGGGACAAAGCAACAGTGAAAGTACCCTGGAATTTAAAGCTTATTAAAGATACATTGTTTCCAGAATGTGTCAAGCGGCGAATGGAAATTAAAGGAAAAACTTTTTGTCTTTTCACTCTCCTTCCGAACGTGACAGCGATAGAACTTTAAGAGAAATCGGAAAACTCGCATTGGAGGTATGGATTTCTGAATATTTAAAGGAAAATCTTTTTGCTGTAAGTGGGAAGGGAGAGGGGGAAAAAATTGGAGCAGAATTTAAACAAGGAGGAGACTGCCTAGAATTTTAAAGAGCTATTGAATATTAATAAGACTTCTAAAAGACATCTTAATTGGAACTTTTTGATCAAACAGCAACCCCAGAAAGAGAAATGGAAGAAAGAAAAAAGTATTAAAAGAAATAGCTTATTTGGATTGTTTGGTGACTTTGGAACTCTTTGGAATTATTTTTGATTAAAAGCACTTGGGTGGTTGTTTTGGAAAAAAATTCTTTCTCTTTACAATGGCATCGCTTGTGGATGAATTAAAAACCGAATATCAAAAATATAAAAAAGAAGAACAAGATGGGAAAGATACTTTGGGCACTCTTTTTCAATTTTTAGAAATGGCGGTATGTATCTATGAAAAATTGACTGCGCAGCAGGACGACTGGGATAAAGAAGAAGCCATCTTTGATGAACAAATAATTCTATTTGGGGAGGAGGAGAAAGAGGAAAAGAAAAAGGGGATTTTAAGGCTTGAGAAAACAACCAAAAAAGAGAAAAATGAGGTGAAAAGTGGATACAAGGTTAGAAAACAACAGGAAGGGGGAAAGCAGAAGAAGAAAAGGGAGGAGGAGAGACAAAGGGGTAAAAAGGGCAAGGAGAAGAATAAGCAAGGGAGAAAGGAAGGGATGAGAAGCCTTAATGGTGGGAAGCAAGATTTAAAGAAACAAAATTCATTTAGAGACAATGGGTAAATTTAATTGAAAAAGGGATTCTGTAAGGTACATAAGATTGTGTTTTTATATGTGTATTTAGAATAAAATGTTTAAGATATAAATGAGTATTAATATGTATGATTAGTTTTTTAATGGCATTGATAGTGGTCTTATA